AATGATATTCATTTTCAAGAGATTGAAAAAGAGCTTAAAATATTCATTCTTTAAGTAGGAATATGTATTTGAATAATTAAGTGATTAATTGAATCAGGACCTGCAGCAGTTTTAACAGAACTTAAGAAGATAGCTGACTCTAATTCATCCTGTATAAGATCAGGTCATTCTCAGTCATTTTCATCAATGTAGTTGAGAAGTGATATATTCTCTTTCTCTGAATCTGAATCTGAATCTGGTGAGTTCTGAAAGAGAATTCTTATAAAAGCTTGACATTTTTTCTCAAAAGAGTTTGCTGTATATGATTCATTCTGAAACTCATATTCTAAGACTGGAAGTTTTGCTACACTTCTTGTTTTAGTATAGTTAAAAGCTTTAAAAACTTCCTTTTCTTATGCTTCTTCAAGAAATTTATTTCAGCAGTCTGTTTTAGCTCTTTTAATATCTGAAAAATATTCATTTCTGACAGCTTTGAACTCTTTATCAGATATTACATCATTCTTTCAATCTCTTCTAGCAGTAGCTAATTCTTTTCTTTTAGATGAGATATTCTTATTTCATCAAGGTTTTGAATACTCAGAAGATTTTCTCTTTGAAATATTATCTCTAACACTTATTAGAATAATAGATGTAATAAGCTTCACTCTATTCTCAAGCATTTCATTTGAGATATCTTGACCAGAATTTCAATATAGCTCATTCTGTCTTTCAGATTTTAACAGTTTTATACTTTCTTCAACTGCTTTTCAATCAGCTTTTTCAAAGTTATACTGATTAGAGAGAAGAGGATTTTCACTCATTTGTTTTTCACTCAGTTCAATATCAAATTGAATAATCTCATGATCTGATTCTGATATCTCATTTGAATTAATAAACTAGTTTACAAGTCTTCTTTTCACTAGATTTTATGATATGAAGATTAGATCTATAATAGACTTCTGTTTCATATCTTTTCTAAAGAATGTTTGTTGATCAGACTTATTAACTAAATCTATTAAATACTCAAAGATTTATTCAATCAGATTATCAGCTCTTACTGCTCTCTTGTATTCTGAATTTCATTAGAGATGATATGCATTGAAATCTTCTACAATTATAGAGTCTCTTGATGAATTTATGTTCAGAAATTCTCTATCAATTGTTCAGATATTGTTATTTTTCTTCAATGACTTTTCATTATAGATATTTATGAGCTGTATAGTATCAAACTCATTTTTCTTATCTATAATATCACTCACCAGAATATCAGGGTCAGATATAATATCAAATCTTAGATTAAATTGATATCTTGATCTCTTTCTTTCATAGATCACTACTCTTGACTTTATCTCAGACTTTTAAGATAGAAAGCAGTAGTAGCTTGAATGAGAAATGATATAATTTTGCTCAGTATCAAAATTCAGTTTCTGAAGTAGTACAAAATCAACTTTTTATTTAAATACAATTTGAAGACAAGAATAAATACAATTTGAGTTTCTATTCACATTATTTTGAATAAATGTGATTTTTGAAGAGTTTTTAAACTTTTTTTATTGTTTTTGTTGTATATTCATACTAAAAGAGAGTAGAGATAGAGTAGGATCTAGTCACTATCATCAGATAGTAGATTATAACTATTTTGAAAAGTAGGGCTCTCAACTGCTTACATTATATCTAGTTTATCACCAGAGTCATTTCTCAATTCTCTAATCTTAACAGGAGTTTGAGGATTAAAATTCTGTTTACATTTAGTGAGAGAATTGAAGTTTGAAGATTTAGATAGTTGAGAGTTTCTTCTTTTTAAGCTTACAGTTATAAGTCTACTAGCTTGACTCTTCTCTTCAGTTCTAGATTGACTTTGAGCTTCATCTTTTCTTCAGTTCTTTTGAGTTCTAGAAGCAAACATACATTCTTTTGAGCTAGATGTATGTTTTTCTTTACAATTAGAGCACTTAAGCAGAGTATATTGACATATTTCATCTCTTTTTAAGCATGTTTCACATTTATGCTCACTAGTTTTATGATCTCTAGTACAGAATGCACATTTTGAGTCTCTAAAACATGAGATTGCAAAGTGTTCATATCTTTGACAGTTTGAACACTGTGTTTGAGCTTTGAGATTCATTCTTGAGTCTTTGTATTCATGAACTCTCATTTTCAAATCTGCTACTCTTACTTCAGAGATCTTTGACTATTCAAGTGTTTTTATATATACTAGAACAGAGGCATTTCTTCTGCTTTGTCTGAACTCAATTGAATTTAGTTATACAGGCTTCTTTCTCAGTTGAATAGAGTTGTATTCTTTCAATTCATTTTTGAGAAGTAGCATTTCTTCTTCACAGTCAAAAATTTCAACTGAAATATTATGAAGAATGAATTTGTCTCACTTTTCATCTCTCTCAGATAGAATTATTATGTTTAGCAAAGATTCTACTGCTGACTTTCAGAGATTCTTATTCTGAATAAGGAATTCAGCACTGAATTCAGACATTGTAGTCAGAATAATGAAGTTTTTAAAGAATGATGACTCAATTAAAGTTATAACTGATTTTTAAACTTCAATATCAGTCATCAACTGAGAAAAGAACTGCTGATTAATTTCATTTCTGATTCTGAAAATGAGATTTAAGTTTAGCTTGTTTCTTTGCAGAATATTCTAATTTGAGACTTTGAGAATAAGTCTTCTATTTCTGAAGATTTGAAAGTTTTTCTCTTTTTACATTTTCTTTTTCACTTTTCTATGAATAGAGATATGAACAGTATTCTTCTCAGTTTTCTCAGGATTTTGAGCAGGTTTTGAGACAGCAGGTTTAGAGACAGCAGATTCAGCTGCTTAAGTATATGTTTTCTTCTGATTCAAAGAAGAAGAAGAAGTAGGAAAAAAAGAAGAAGAGTAAGATGAAGAGTCAGTGATTGTACAAGGAATTTTCAATGTTTTTTGAACTGTGTTTGAGATTTCAAGTTTGAACTTGATCATCTCCTGTAGTTATCTAGCCTGAGTATGAAGAATTAACAGAACTTCTTTATTCATCTCACTCAGACACTGCTTTTCAAGAATCTTGCTTGCTTTTTCAAGTTTCTGTATTTCAAGAACTTGTTATTTCTCTATTTCTTCTTTCTTTCTTCTCTTCAGAATTTCAATCTCAGAAATAGCATTTGAGAAAGCATCTTTTTCCACATCAACTGAGTGTATTTTTGAACTCATTATTCTCACTCAATGAAAAGTTGATCAGACTGTTTTAATTGAGATATTTCTAAGTCTGTTTTCAATTGAAAAGTTGGTCAGACTGTTTCAAAAGAAGAATAAAAGACTTTTATGTATAAAACACCTGATTTTTTTCACACTAGTTCAGTAACTAGGTTAGATTTTTGAAGAGAATCTAATAAACTAAAATTGATTTTTGAGATAAATCAATAAAATCTTTACAATCTCTTTCTTGAGATACAGTGAGAAAGAGTATGATATTAATTGATAATAAATCAGATGATATGACAGTTTTTGAGAGAAAAACTGATAAAAAATAAATCAATTTTTTACAGAGAAATTGATTAAAACTATTCAATTTTATTCTAAATCATTCAATTCTTCTCACACAACAAGTGTGCAACTCAAATCAGTTAATAAAGAGTGTAAAAAAGAATTAAGTATTAATGAAAGCTCTTCAGTCACTGAAAAAGTAATTCTTACTTAAAAGAATATGAAATTATGACAGAAAATAGCTCTGTTTTTTATTCTTTGTAAGAATATTGTATAAAACTCAGAGAAAAACATCTTACTTTTTCAAGAGAAGTAAAAAACTATTTCTAAGATCTTTTTTTTGCATTAACTGCTGCAGAAGAATGAGATAGAAACTGCTAAGATATATACTACTATATACTCTCTATCAAGACTTTCCCTCTTCAGAGTCTTGATATTATAGAGAATATAAGTCTGTTTCTATATAATAATATAAATATTGTCAGCAGGATGTAGAGAAACTGGTTATTTATATCTCAAAATAGAAGACTTTGTCAATGATTATATTAATATAGAGTTAATTCTCAAATTCAATAGAAATCTAGTATTGCTGTTCTCAATTCCTTGCAGAATCTATTGAATATTGAGATATTAAAGCTAGATTTAATATATCTCACTGTGCAGGGATCAAAGACTCAGTCAGACCTTGAGATATACTGATTTTATAGTTGTTGATGTGCTGTTGACTCATTATTCACTGATTATGTATTGAATGCTGTTGCTGAGGTATCTTTTTGTATTGTTCTGCCAGGAATGGGCCAGATTGAGAGGGGTAGTACAAGGGTGAGACTTGGTGTTGAAGTCTAGATACACTGATGACAGACCATGGAGGTTGCACTTCAGAAGATTTCATTGATTATGTGCTTGATATTATCACTGAGGTATCTTTTTGTATTTTTCTGCTGGGGATGGGCCAGATTGGGAAGGGCGGTACGAGGGTGAGACTTGGCATTGGTGTTTTGGAACATCAAAGATGGACAGGGTTTTCGCGGAGGTCGCTCCTCGGATATCTCCACAACTACAGGTCGAGGATCTTCCAAAATCGAGAAGATTGGTGCATATGGCTAGGTCTCTTCACCTTACAATTTGTATGGCACTTTGGCCCGGGGTTGTGGTGTGGTAGGGGAGAACGGGGGATTATCCCACACAGGAGTTTCGAACAACGTCCGGTTCACGTTTGGCTGGATAACTCCACCACCACACAGGGTATGCGGTCGGCGATGGGGTCAGAATGCTCGTATGATCGAGGGCTTTTCGATGAATCTATCGGCGGGTTCTTATTCGAAAAATCGAGCGAGTTCGTATCTCTCTCAGATAGAATTGTTGTAATCTTAATATTATGAAGAACAGTGAAATAGAAGTAATTTCTCAAAATAAACTGTGAAAGATAATCATTCTTTCAAAGTCAGAATGAGACTGAGACTGAAGATTAAAATCAGTCTCATTCAGATTATTTGGTAATTGCTTATATAATCAGAATTTAATAATAATTATTGATAACACTTATGAAATAATTAAATACATTCTTGTACAAGTTTATTCTTCACTTTCTTATGAAAACTACACTTCTCTAATATACTGTGATCAGAGATATTAAACTATCTGATAATTTCATGTTTTATAATCATGAGTTTCTTGATTATTTCTTCTTATAATTATTCTCAGTGATAGTGATAAATATCTCAGTTTAAGTTAAACTTTTACTTCATTCTTACTTCTGTTAATGAAATTGTTATAATATCATATATTATCAGTGCAATAGTTGAATATATACTTTCAACAATTTTTCATAACTCTAGAATTGATTTAACATGTAAATTTATCAGATTATCTTGAAGATAGCAGTTAAGTTCAGTTTTATAAGTATGTAGTTTTATCTGATTTTCAGTTGTAATCACTATATATAAGTTCTGTTTCAAAGTTAGTATTATAGTTCTATGTATTATAAAGTATTATCAAAGATTGTTACTTACTAGAGAATTGTATTTCACTGTCTTCACATCTCTAACATCTACTTATTCAAATCTCTGATAGTTAACATTATAGTAGTCTCAGACTAATTTGATATATGAGTCTTATTTCTTCTCTATTCAATCTTGAGAAGTGTAGATATTAGCTTAATAAGAGAGATTTAGTAAAGCTGTTACAGTATAGTACTCTGCAAAAGATTGTTCAGTTTTACTGTAGTAATATATCAGTTTATCTCTTTCAGTAATAATAGTCTGTACTATAGTATTATTCTAGACTGAATTTCTTTTTGTGTGGTTCGGAAGAACGTACAACTGCCGGATAATAACGCGGCCGCTTCCGAACTTGCTTATGAATGTAAAGAGGTCATAGCGGCCATCAATTAATTTAGTGTACAGTATATAAGAAGCCAGTGTACACCTGTAATCATACACTGACTCAAGCAATCTTTGAATCACATCTGATAGCATGTCTAAAAACTGGTGAGAAGCACAGACTTCTTCAGAGTGTGATAATTTCATCTATGAAGTGATTTGTAGTTATCATGTCAGTATAATTCTAGAATATCTCAAAAGATAGTGTATGAAGAGTGATAAGTGAAAGAGTATCTGATTGATACTGCTTCACTTATTGAGGAAAAACTTCATACTCAGATGAATGTCACATATGCGAATAAATAAGGTGTGAGAAAGAGAATGAGAGTGATGAACCAGATTCAAAGAAGTCTGCTTTCTACTCAAAAGAAGAATAAAAAGAGAGAGATGATCATCACTGAAGTTGTACAATAATAATAGAAATCATATAATAATATAGTAATATAATGATAGATATTATACAATCAATAAGAAATCACTGAAATAAATATCTTCTCTAGTTAATATAAATAACACTCTTCTCTGCTATCTGAATCAGAAGATATACAGAATCTCTCAGAGAATTTACTTAAAGTAGTAAGAAAAGTGACTGAAACTGCTGAACTGAAATTGAAGCTCTGTACATGTACAAGAATTCTAAAAGAGATTGAGATCTTGTGTACACAGTGACAGACTGAGATAGAAATTAAATAACAATTGACATTCACTGCAGATTAAGTATTCACTATGAAGAGCTTCACTGATACAATCACTATCATTAATAAGAATAGAGAAAACCAGGTCTTAGACCTGCAGTGAGAGATTGAATATTTATATAGATAGATAACTACACTGAATCTGAAGATTTTATCACAATTGTTCATAATCTCTTCAGAAGTATACACATTATCAGAGACTGCTGTGCAGAATGAGAATCTGAGTATGAAATATATTAAGCTGAAAGATCTGCTGAAGCTACTAAGCTTTAATAATAACTGAAAAAATAATGCTGCAATCAGCTGACTAAGTCAGATATAATTATATTATCAGATTGAATGTGAACTCACAGACAGACAGTTAATGAAATTTCAACAAGTCTTAAGATCTGCTATGTTTCTACACAGAAAAGTGAAGTCATTATAAATAACTAATAAAAAGATGAATCTTATAGACTCAGAGTAATATCTATTCTTATAAATATGAAATGAGTTTTTCAAATGAATCTTACACAACTTTGAGAAAGTGAATATATAAGACAAGTGTTATAAATACTTCACTGAGTGTAGATAAGTGAGTAATCTTATATTATACTTCACACACTTCAGCTTATACTATTTTATATTAAATGAAGAGCTTTTAATATCTTTCTATTTATAGATCTTCATTCATGATCTTATATCTGAGTTGAGAGTGAAATGAAAATACTTAATCTCACAGTCAGATATAGTGAAGAAAGCATATAATATTCTCATTGTATAGAAATAAGTAAGTTAATTATAATAGAAAATACTGTAATCAAGTATATCTTAATAGAGAATTAATAATCAGACTTCTATAATATAAGTCATATATCTGAATATAATGAATCTAGATTTGAATACTATCACTAAAGTACTGAATTCTCTGAAAAAGAAATTCTCTGAGTGAAAATCTTGATATTATAAGCATTGAGCTTGCTTCAACTATAAATGCTAAAATCATGATATAAAAGATTGCACACAGTGTACACAGTCAAGAGAAGTAAGAAAGTCAAAAAACTAGCAGAATCAGTGAGCTCAGAGACACTCACTGATATTCTATAAAAAGTCTTCAAAGTGAAAGAGATGTCTGTATTAGAAGACTCTCTGAATTCTGTAAATATCAAGAGAAAGCAGGCTTCTGACTGAGATATGAGTGAGAATGAAGCAGACACTCATCTCAATGCCTTGAGATCTGAAATGTTAATGTATAAGAAGAACTTGAATAAGAATTGAGAGATGACTGTAAAAGTGTTAGTGAATATAAAAGCTTCTATATAATATATTAATAATTATATAATCTGAAGACTGAAAGAAGTTCACTGAGTGAAGAATCTCTGATATATAAGATTATCTAATAACTGATATTTAATATTATCTGTAAGAGTAAGAGTTCTCTTATACTTCAGAGAATGATCTTACTACATTTAAGTATGAGAGCTGCAGAACATGAAATATAATCTTATTCTCAGACTTAATTGATTTCAAAGATTCAATCTGTAGATTCAATAATGTATATATTATATACAGTTGACTGATAGAAAGAAAACAGTTCATATAATTCTACTAACTGATATGAGAAGAACATTTCATGCCTCTGATATAGAAGAATTAAATCTGCTTATATATTAATAAGTAAAGAGAATAATTTACAAGATCTTATCTGAAAGCATTCTGTATATCATACAGAATCTGAAAGTGAAGAAAATCAAGATAAAGAATATATGAGAGAATAAGTGTATAAAGAAGCTTCTGAAGAAGTATGAAAAGATCTTCTGAACAGATCTTTCACTGAAATTACTGCTGAAATGAGAATTTATATATGAGATTAACATGAGAGATGTGAAACCAGTCAATCAGAATATATATCCCCTGTTACAAACACATCTCAAAGAATAGAAGTATCAGATCACAGACCTTCTAGAATATAGTCTTATATAACTCTTATTAAGTGTGTGAAGCTTTTCAGTTCTATTTATGAAAAAGACAGATGAGAAGTGACAGATGTGTATCAATTATTGAGTACTTAATAAGCTTATGATTAAGAATGAATATTCACTATCACAGATTCAATAACAGTTGAATACAGTTAAAAATATCTGATATTTATTAAAGATTAATCTTCTCTCAGAATACTGACAGATCTGTACAGATAAACTGTCAGTTCTGTGAACTGTATTTAATATATAATGAGAGAAGTTTGAATTCCTGATTATACTATTCAGTCTGACAAATGTGCCTGTCATCTTTCAAATGATAATAAATATGATTCTTTATAAACAGAATAAAACCTCATATCTTATATATCTTGATGACATTCTAGTCTTTTCAAACTTATATAATGAATATCTGAAGTATCTTGATAAAGTTTCTTATAACTCTGACAGAGTATAAGCTCTATGTCAAATTAATAAAGTATGTGTTTGAAATGAAAGAGTTGAAGTTTGTAGAATATGTAGTGAGTGATGACTGTATATATCTCATTCTGAAGAAATTAAATGTTATAGTGAATTGACTGTGACTGAGAAATATACATCATATACAATAGTTTCTTGAATTGATCTCATATTATCACAGATTTATCAAGAATTTCATATGAATATCTGTATCACTCTCAGATCTCTTAAGAGAAATAGATGCAAATCTGTGAAAGAAGAAGTTTCATTCAATTATCTGAAATATCATGTGTGAGAAGACTTTTCTCACACTGAGAGAATGTGTAATAACATTCTCAGTGCTTATTTAACTAGATTGTGATAAATCTTTCTATATTGAGATAAACATATTTGAATGAGCTATCAGAGATGCTCTTCTACAGATGAGTAAGAATAACAAGCTACACTCAGTGATATATAATGATAGAAAACTATCAAGTGCTGAGCTCAATTACTCAGTGCATGAAAAGAAATTACTAGTAATTAAGCATATACTGATGTTGTGAAATAGATATATTAATAACAGATATATGATAACAGTGATCACAGATCATGAAAGTCTTATTTATCTATAATTAACAATGAAATCTTTCAAATACTTAGTATATTGAATCTTGAAGTTTCAAGTGTACAATCTTAATATTAAATACTGAAAGAGATTGAATGCTGTAATATCTGATACAATCAGTCACAGATCTGATTTCATGAGTGAGAGTTCTGTAAACCAGATATAAGAAAAGTTCATGTTAAATACACTGAGAAGATGTAAGGAATTAGAATAAGTGAATATAATAATCTCTCACTTAAAGAATGATAAGATATCAGATGATAAGCATCTTATAAAAGTAGT